GTATATTCGAAATTGGCTTAGCAAATTGTGCTGTGTCGTTCGAGTGGCTTTCTGAGCTTTCAGATAGAAGCTGATGGCTTTTATTCTTGACATTGGCAGATAATTGTTTGATGGTTTAGTGTGGCTGCGGTTTTGTATTGATGGTTACAATGAGGATGGAGCATATGAAAGCAGGCACAATATTGTAAGTGATAGGAATGTGGATGCCACTGGAGCATGAACAAGGTATCAACGGGCGCAGTGTGTTTACATGTAGTTAAATATATTGCGTTGAACGCTCCAAACTTCAAGCGGACTTGCTTTGTTACCGTTACCGTTGACCCTCTGTGGGTTTGTCCGTACTTGATCAACCTACTTGCATTAACAACAGTTATCCATCCAAGTACCTACGATGATGCCAAGTGAAGAATTCACTGCACTAACTGCAGACAGTTGCTGAGTGAACGTCGATCTGTTGAGAAGTTAGTGTCACAGGTGTTGAAAATTGAGCAAGCTACTTGGCAAGAACAATCAAACTTGCACAGACACTGGTACAATGCTGAGTTCAAGGCTCACTTCGGCAAGTGCCACGTCTGAAATATAGCAGACTGCTCACACGTTGCTTGAGTTGATATGCCTGACCTCTGATCAGCACAGCTTAAGCAAGTATATAAACTCACTGGGTCTCTCATAATTTGGCAAGAATACTAACCAACATGGTGTCTCCTACGTATCTTCTGTTTTGTCTAGCAGTCTGCGCTTTTGGCAGAGTCGTCGTCAACACAGGTACGCATTAATGTCGATAAGTTGAATTTCTGCAAAATAGGTTGGCAATGAGCATCTGTCAATATTTCCATTTCAGACACGGAGAATGCGGCTGAAGAGACCACAATCGCCATCACCTCCCGAGTGATTCAGGGTGTGACAAGCAAAATCCAGAGGTGCTTGTCTAATAGGATTTGTCGACCCGCACTCAAGTCGTTCCATGTTATCGGGAGCAACAGTGTGAACTGGCAAGGCAGGATACTCTCCTCCACACCACAATCTCCCTATTATTCGTGCGAGTTAAGCACAAGCAGCATCGCGCTTAGCCTTACTGAATGCACTGCGGTATGTAAATTTTAGTGTAAAATGTGCGCATAGCACTTTCGTGATCCCACGGTTGCATGTATGATTGAATCAAATGTCCACATTTGACTAATCAGCTCACCATAGTATGTGGCGACCTCAAATAAACAAGGTTATTTTTAGCTACCACGCAGCACAAAACCCCTACATATTTCGTTTTTTTTTAATATAATCACATTGCAGTTGAACGAAACACATCACGAATTCCAACCTCTGGAACCAATTCACATGTCCAACTTCGTCGTTAAATTTGACGTCGAAGAAATCATGACTGGTCGTTTTCACATCGGCAATAGCAGGCCCTACACCGAGATCGTGAGTTTTCCAACCAATGATAGGTACACTAACTCAGGGAGCATTCTGAATCTCCTTGCGTCTTTCATCAATCAATACTGCTGAAAGTAACCAAAATAATAAACTTTTCATCACTTACATTTCTGTTGAATAAATGTGGGCCAGTAAGAGGGAGGGTGCGCTTTACAAGCTATGCGTGTTCAAGTGCTAATGAATCAGGAATCCACCCTTGGTTGCCTTGTCCTCGCAACGGTCACACTTTGCAGGTTTTAGCTAGTGGTGAAATAAGAAATTCAGAAAAAAACTATGTCTTTCAATAAAAACGGGACCAATTTGGTATGGTGATTAATGAAAATAGAATATGAGAATAAGCACGGTGGCATTTAAAGTGAAGTACACAGGTAAGGGCGTAATGTAGCCGTACGAACTGGGTACGGTTTCAGCGTTGTTTGACGACAAATCGAAGCGCTTTCTACATGTGATGTCGCAAATCAAGATATTTAATTATTCCGAATTCACCTAGTGGACTCTGTTATGTGGGTTATCTGAATGCCTGCATCTTCCAGCAACTCCTCACCGTCCACTCTCTGTGGTTTCGCATGTACTTGATCAACCAATTTTTATTAACCAAGACAAGGCATTAGGAACCGCGTGGGCATATGCACTTATTCCATTTCACATATCTTGCTAAATGCAACCAGAATCGGAGTTAATTTAATTGATGTTGCCAAGTAGACAGATCACCGTCAAACACTGCACCAGTCCGTTTATCAGGTCATGTATGCAGTAATCATTTACCATTAAGCACACAATCTCCACATTGTTTGACCTACTGAACTATTTTTTTCAATCTCCACAGCCTTGGCCATTTGAAGAAGGATTTATGTCGACGTGAGTAGACAGACATTTGTTATTATTGAAACGATTTTACAGAAACTACTTAAACACCAGCTCCACTGCTCAACTCGAAATACATTTAAGAAGTGCAAAAAAGGGCATCGAAGAAGACAAAACGCCTCAAGTGCAAACCGCATGCCATGTTGTGTGCGAAATTTGCTATGCACTAGAGGTTGAATCAGCGTTGATCAAAAAGTCGGTGATTTCTCTTTCCTACATTCAGCCGCACCTACTTTAGCTACCACAAAAATCGATCAATTAAAAAAAGGAAATCGTCGTATAAAACGGAAAATGTTAATGCACCATAGAGTTTTCCCTTTTATCAACTTGCTTAGTACAAGTTTCTTGCTGTGCTTCCATTTCATACTGAACATCATTTCTA